TGTTCTCTAATTTAAAACATGAATCAAATTGAATTACGGAAGACTCAGGTGACCTATAAGGCCCGTGGGTCTCTTGTTGTTTCACTGTAGCCGTAAGTGCCGTATTGAGTTCAGTTTTTGTGTTACTGTAGCTGTAAGTGCCGTATTGGGTTCAGTTTTTGTTTTATTGTAGCTGTAAGTGCCGTTTTGAGTTCAGTTATTGAAGACGTTGGTATTTTTATGGCGCCGAGCTTGCTCGATCGTCATTTAGAGATAAGTCAGGTTTACGCCATCGAATGTGTCAGTGAATGCATCCGCAATAGAAAATAACAACAGCTGTAAACCAAAATCAATTGTATCTACAATTAATTCCACTACAAAACAACGATATTATGTTTAATGTTTACGCAAGAAAAACATTATGGTTGATGCGGATGAATTTCTACAGAAAGGGTGCGTCAAATGACATGAATCACATTTTGGACCGATAACTATAAATAAACAATCTTAAAGACGGTAAAATAATTACAAAAAAATACACGAATACAGTAAGACTATAAAGATTGAATTCCTTAATCTTAGCTTTACTTTTAATATCTTCAATCCAGTTTTATCCGAACAACCGATGATATTGACCAGTAATGCCAGTATTACTGTACTTATCCATTTCCTCCATTTGCTTACCGCGCCCTATCGTAAGCCGATCGTACTTGTAACAGTAGAGTCATGGTTGTAGTTAAGATGCAAACACTATACAACAGAACACCGCTCTGACAATGGCAATTAATTTATGAAACCCTTCATAGGTCTTCAATTGACTGAAAAGAAATTTAGATTGACATGTCTGATCAATTCGAACCCTGCCTCATTCAGACCAGGAAATAAGGCCCTCTACTGTGTAAGTGTGTTTGTGTTAAGACTATTTTTTAATTTTATTATTATGTTACCAGAGCCATTCACTTGACCTATCTGCAGATCTTTTGAAATTGTTTTTCTTGTTCGACGCTATTGAAGCCTTTCAGACTTTTGATCTTCTTCACAGTAGCTGTAAGTGCCGCTTTGAGTTCAGTTTTTTATTTTACTGTAGCTGTAAGTTCCGTATTGAGTTCAGTTTTTGATGACGCTGATTATTTTTTTACAGTAGCTGTAAGTGCCGTACTGAGTTCAGTTTTTTTATGACTACAGCCTTTACCTGGAAGCAGCCCACGCAGTGGATGGAGTGACATGCTGTCCTCAGCATGAACTAGCTCACACTAAGGAGGAGACAAATCCCTGGCTGAGGATTGGTCTCAATCACTCCGTAAATGTAATGAAGGTTTTGAATCACAACAAACACGACTGCTGTGGTAAGACATGTCTTAGGAGTTGTACATATCATAGTTTCTTGTTTTATAAAAGATATCTTGCGTTGTAAAAGAAATCTTGTTTTGTAAAAGATATCTTTTTGCAGCGCTTTTTTAATTTTATCCACAGCTCCTATTGTCACCTTCCTATTCTTTACATTTCATTTTAAATTAAATATCGCAAAAATATTATCTAAGCAATCAGATTCAATTTTTACTGACTGCACAGGTTTGTGGTTTGGCCAAATAAACATTTGGCTCTTTGGAAACTTCTGTTATACTACTCCTAAGACATAAGAAAATTTACCCTGTAGATTTTTGCTACATGTATCTTTAAGATTTTTCAAGTCATAAATGCTGTATCAGTTATTGTCTTTGAGGGGAAATTTACCCCGTAAAGTCTTGCTATCGTTTTATGTAAATATGCATTGTCCATCTTCCCTCTAAATGTTTTCAAATCAGTTTGGTTTTGACGCTAAATCGTCTATATACTAGAAACATGCTGAATTTTTACCATGTTTCTAATGAATATCACATAAAATTCTGGTTTGTTGTTTGATTTTGTCAATACCTGAGGGCAAAATGCTTAAAACAGAAAAAAATTTGCTGTTTTGATTTTTGAAAGCGTTTTTAGAAATAAATAAATGGTCTTTGAATTGACCATGTTTTAAATTCGTCTTAGTGATACAAGGACAAAAGAGGCGAGAATAAACGACTCCCGAAATTTCCCTGTATCGATATGACTTGCTAATGGTGTGTCTCCCATTTGAAGAGCTTTCTCTTTGTACAAACAATTTTTAAAGTAAGAATTTTTTTCGTTAAGTTTTTAAGCTGACAGTATCATATCTTTATTGAATATTTTTTAGACAAATGAAGAATTGAAGCATGGGCAAGTAAATGTCTTGGTCACTTGTCCGCATGGACAAGTATAGAAAAAAAGTTGTTTTATGTTTAGATGTCTAGAAAAAAAACATGGATGGCAAACAAATAGCTAAGCTTTTGATAAACATGATGACTTCAATTTTTCTACCGTCATCAACTTTATTTATGTAGCAGTATAACATTATAACCTGTATCTGGACGTGCATTTCCTAAATTGTTTCGAGATACACAAGAGCGTGTCATAATGAATTTTTACCATCTTTCTAATAAATATCATAATTATAAAATTCTGTTTCTTGTTTGATTGTGTCAATACCTGAGGGCAAAATGCTTAAAACACACAAACAAAAAAAGATTTTCTGTTTTGAATTTGGAATGCGTTTAAAGCAGAACTGTGACTGAGCGAATTGAAAACGTGACAAAACTGTTACATGCGTATTAGGCCTTCTGAGCTCCTGACCTTTCACTTGGCAAAATGTACATTTCGGTTGCATTATCAAGAAATCAACTCAACTTACTTTCAGAAAATTATCACAGAGAAAGCAAACAGAAATGGAAATCTTATAAATTAATATTATTTCGTTTGATTAATTATTTCTAAATGTCACATCAAGTGTTTTCTTTATGTAGAATAGTGGGAATTCCAACAAATTTGGGAGACCTGCGGTACTTCCTATAATAATAAATTAAATAAATGTTATGCACTTTACTTAAAGGTTATGAAGTAGCATTTAACATTCTATTTCATCTTCATTTATAAAAAGCATTGGTTTGGTGTAATTGATATTTTATGTGACAATGAGATTTTTTTAAATCTTCATTTTAGAAGTGTTATCAGAAAATAATGCTATATTCATATGATGCATTCATTTCAAAGACAAAAAGGATCAAAAGGATAATTAAGATATATCCGTGGCATATTCATTTGAAAATTTCTCTACAAAATGACAAATCTGTCAGATAATTGTATTCTAATGGGATATTTATAAAAGGTTTGAATTTGAAAGAAATATTATAATAAAATAGTATTCCTGCAAGCTCAAAAGTCCATAAAACACTAGAAAAAAGGAGCAGAGCAAACACGGACCTCCAAAACATCTGAGGTGGGATCAGGTGCCATGGAGGAGTGAGCATCCCTTGCCAAGCAGTCACACCTGCCATGTGCTATTTGTCATGATGGGAAAATAACGGAATGATCCGTTGTCATTTTAGGGTAATGAATTAATAATTGGTATGAAAAACGTTATTCAGCAGTTCACTCAATGATAAATGGTATTTGCTGACAATTGAAGGTCATTGTTAAATAAAAATTATGAAACTGCTGAAATTATATTTGAAATACTGTTATTTATTATTTGAAATACTACCAGGTAATTGTTAGACACTAATTTTTGCACTCGTATGGACGACGGATTATTCCATTATTTCTCGAATATGACAAGTAGCACACGGCGGGTGGGACCAGTCGGCATGGAATGCTCACTCCTCCATGGCACCTAGCTAATCCAACCTCTTATATTTTGGAGGTCCGTGTTTGCTCTGCCCCTATTTTGTATTGTTTTATGGACTTTTGAGCTTGAATACTGTTTATTATCTCCAAATGTTTCATGCAAAACGTCAGTCGGCATTTGACGCATTGATAAATTGTTTTGCTGACAAGGTCATTGTATCGATCATTGAACGTCCGAAATGTACAAAAAGAAAAAAATTTTAATCATTATTCTTATTTTAACAAGTTCTTCCGTACTGTAATAAGAAGTATTTTTATTGATAAGAATAACTTAAAACATTAGGATAGATGGCAATAATAAAAAATCCCATCATAAATTAAGCAATATTTTTCTCCTTTATCGTTTATTTCAGGATGGGAAAAACAAACATTTTTGAGATTTGAACTCTGATTATTTCAATATATTTCCAATTTTTATTCATTTTCTCTGTGATAAATCTTTCAAAATCAGTAACACAGTTGATTTCTTGATACGCGTTAGAATACCAGAATGTGATTTTCTATAATCTAGAAACACCAAGAAGTACAATGTGAGACTCAAAGGGATCAAAAACACAGTTTCAGCTAAAATTTCAAAATTTATTTTTCCATTTTTACAAATATTTAACTAGGGTCTTTCTAATGATCATCAAAAATATGAACGTCAGTTGTCGAGATACGAGACAGATTTAGAGCTCCAATCCTTTGTTATGTAAACAAGGTCTGTGTCATGTTTTTGTTTACACAGTTTAATATACTTACATATGTTTGTTCAAAGTAGATAATTTTAAATAAAAGTTAATTTTAAATACGATTTTACAGTTACCTTTAAGCTCTGTATCTTGTTTGTTAATCAACAAATGATGCTCAATTTTTTTGCTAATCAATAGATGATGCTTAAGGTATGAATTATAAATATTGAAATTGGTATTAAAAATTCAGTTGAAACTGTGTCCATGCCCTTTTAATATGCATGTACTAGTCAATATCGTACGTCCTTCTTTTGTGTGACTTAGTGGGCGCGAACTATTCAAACAGGTGTTCATGAGAGGTCGCATGTTAAATCTATCAGACAACATATTTAAATCTATAAATTCAGCATTTTATATCACAATGACATGTAAGAAATCACTGTCTAGTTTATTGGATGTGCCAGGGACATCAAGAATAGTTGGAAAAGTGAAATAATTTGCATAAAACGGACGTTATGGAACTATCAACTATCGTCGATGCCCTGGCATACCCAACAAACTAGACGGTGATTCTTTTTTCTGGATACTAGTGCCTACCGCCATTTTAATTCACACTCACACAAGGATCAATTGCAGACACGAGTCACGTTTTAACATCAAATTGTATTTCACTTAAAATATTTAAAAAGAATATAACAATGCCTAATTTAAGGGTAAAGTAATGTTTACAAAAAAACTTTTTTTCACACTATAATATTACCTTATCAACAAGGCATCAGTTTTTTGTGATTCATGTTTAAAGGTTAATTATACACTTCAACTTCACACACAGCTAGAATTCCGGGATGCCCATTTGACAAAATAGAAATCGTGACGCCATTTCCCGTGGAGCCCGATTCACATAGAAATAATATGCGGTCTCCACTTTGAGCAGGTCCAGGATAAAATCCACACGGGTAATTTTCCCCATTTTGAGTGACATTTATCGTGACATTCTGTAGTCGTTCACCTGTATAATGAGATTTGGAAATATCCCCGTAAGTGATGACAAAAACATTAGTATATATGTATTCTTCACTCATTCATAATACATGTAAATAGTAAGTTACCATTAATGATCATCTATTTTTGTCAAAACTCAACGGTATTTATAAATTGAATGTCAGTGTTCAACACGTCGACCACTTATAACGTCAGCGTGACCACGACTAAACAATCAATCTGTGGTCACATGACGAACGCGTTTTACAAAGAAAGGGTTTGTTCAAATGGCATTATATAAAGAAAAGCATTTGCAAATTGAAATATTAAAGAAATAAGGTATCAATTTTTGGGTTTTATTGGGATGTAAATACGTGTTGGTCATGTCATCAAATCCAATAGAGCCTGAAGGTCTTTATTGTAGATTTGATTACATGATATCCAGTATTTTCATCCCGATTAAACTAAGAAAAAGTTATTTTATTATCAAAAATTCCATTTGTGACTGATTTTTTTTTAATTTACCTTATAACGAACTTGTTTCACACAGGGGTAAAAAGCTCAATTATTGTTATATAAGGAAAAACATTTGCAAATGTAAATTTTATTTCTTAAAAGTGTTTTTACATATAAACTTATGACTTACCACAGCAATCTTGCCTGTTGTGAATCAACACTCTCTTAACACTGACGGAATTCCTCAAACCTATTTTTAACCAGGGGTTTATCTCTGTCTTGCTGTGCGCTATTCGTGCCGGTCCTGATACTATTTCACAAGTTGTAATACCGTCTACTGCATTTGATGCTAAGTGATTGCTGTCAAAAACTGTGCTCAATGTTGCATTCGCGGCCACTATTAAAAAGATATGGGTAATGGTTAAACCATTATTGCATTGAAACAAAGGTTATAATTGAGCATTCTACAGTCCATCTTAAGTTTGCTTCTTCTTCTTCTTTTTTTTTTTTTCTTTTTTTTTTTTTTTTTTTGCAATATGCAATATTAAGAAAAGTTGAAACAAGTATGGATTTGCATTGTTTATACGATTGACAATTCTCTAACAAAAATTTACTATAGTTAACTGTAGTTTTCTATAATAAAAACATTGATTTACTATGAAACCCTTTTCGAGAACCTTTTTATCGAAGATTGAGAACCTTCATATCAATCAAATTAGGTACAAAATATGTACGTTTATGAAAAAAATATGTAAAAATACAGGTTCATTTTAATATCAAATTACATGTAGGATGTTCACAAATAAAATATGTCCATGAAACATATGGAGATAGCGAATAGTACTGAAGATTAAAAAAAAAAAGGGACAGAGCAAACACGGACCTCAAAAACAAGTTGGGATCAAGTGCCATGGAGAAGTGAGCATCCCCTACCGACCTGTCACACCTGCCGTTAGCTCCTTGTCATGATTGGCAAATAACGGAAAAAAAAACTGTCGTCAATTCAATATAGAAATAATGGGAACACATTAAGTATGGAAATCGCCAGTCAGCATTTGTTTCAATGATAGATTGTATTTGACAATGTCATTGTATCGACCATAGAACTTACGAAATGATGACTTTTAGCGAGACATCTTATATTCTTGTTTCATCAACTTTTTTGTGAAAAAATTTACATCGTTTTAGAAATTGTTCATACGTAAAGCATGCTTTTGCGTATCGAATCAATTGATATACATAAACTCCGTATGCAGGTGATGAAGGTACATGTATATTGCTGCATAAGTTGACGATATAAAAGTTAAAGTCATCATGTTTATCATAGAGCTTGTTTGTAAGGTTACCACGAATGTCTTTTTCAAGTAGAATATCCAAGTAATGAAAAAAATGCGTAAGACTTTGAGGCATCTTTTCCATCTCATAGTAAAAATACTTTGATTTACTTTGGTGTAAACTTTTAATTTACTATAGTTAAACCCAGTATATTATACTAGTAGTTAACTATAGTACCTTTTGTTAGGTTTATTCAGTGAAGAAAAAATGGGTTAATCTAATGTAAAATAAAGAAAAACATCATCTTTTTTACTAAATCAACTACCGGGGGAATGTCCAGTAAGAAATTATACACTTTCCTAAGTAAAAAGGAAGAATTAAAGCTTTGATAAATTTTATTTATTCAACAATTAATTTAAAAATTCCAGTTATTTAAAAAAAAATCCAACAAACAATTAAATTGTACTTACAGTTGCTTCGGTTTTCTATTTCCTAGGATAGCAAAATATAGTGGTTAAATTTTAATGACCTATTGTACTTTTTTGATGCATGGAAATCAAATTTTAAAAACTAAGAATATAATGCAATAAATGTTAATCATTTTTAATAAATTTCATAGTTTGCCTTGTTTTTTCAACTCACTGCTAATATATATAAAATATCACTAGTTACAATAATGCATCTTTTAATTTAAAATTAATCATTAACGAAATATAAGGAGAAAATGAACAGTATTAAAACTCAGAAGTCTATTAAACAATACAAAGTAGGAGCAGAGCAAATACGGACTTCCAAAACAGCAGAGGCGGGATTAGGTGCCACGGAGGAGTGAGCATCCCGTGCTGATCGGTCACACCCGCCATGTGCTCCTTGTCAAGATTGGGAAATAACGAAAAAAAATCGTCAATCCAGTGTATAAATAATAGCCTAACAATGAATTGTCATCATTGACAAACTACGTATGTTTGCTGACAAGGTAATTGTATGGACCATAGAGTTTATGAAATGATGACGTAAACTGAGATCGATGATATTCTTGTTTCATCAATTTGTTGCCAATATTTTACCTTGTTTTAGAAATTGTACATACGTAGAGCACGCGAACCGGGTAAGGAAGGTATCTGCATAAGTAAGTGAAGAAGGTAATGCATTATCAAGTACTCTTTGTAATTAGTTACAGTACATTTGCGTGTTTATATTATGATGGGATATAAAGTCTACTTTTGACAAGACCATAATTTAGACTTCAATTAAAGAACCCTGAATAATATCAAGATACAAACGATAAAAAATGTAACACGACAAAATTTTGAATTCAAGTTTCATTAACTGTGAGACCTATTCAATTCTAATTAAAAATAAGTAAAAGGTATACTCCGGGAACGGACAGTCCTATAATAAATACAGAAAGAAGTGTCTTTCATTTAGAGTTAGTTTATTCGTCTCTCTTGTCTACATGACTTTGAAAATAAGAATATCGTACAATTGTATCATACAGTTATCAATTCCACAGAAAGAATTACCATTTCTAAGTATTTACATCCAGGATGTTCATCAATGTTGTTTGTTCCCATTTTCTTCCACTCACAGCAAACTCGACATTGAAACAAATCCTGTCTGATTTGACAAATTTCTACCCCTATACATCGTTGGTCATTGACACAAAACTGGGAACACTTATTAATCGTTCTTCCAAAAGTAGACCCCTCTGCTGAGAAGATTGTTTGATAGTTTTTATTCAAAAGCTTCCCAAAAAACTTTAGATGGAATTCGCCATGGTAACGAGCCTGCTGACAAGCAACTCCAAAAAATACAGAAATGAGGCCTAAAAAAATCATGATTTTTTTCCCATCATATTGTCTTCTTTACCGAACAAATTAAACTAATTAAAATCATAATAATTAAATCTATTTATGACAGTAGCATGATACACAAAAAGGCCAGCGCATTAATCCGATGTCTTATTTATCCAGATATTTATGAAAATCGATCTAACAGCTGACGTCATTGGGGAAGTAATGATTAAAGAGATCACCACTGCTGAAAAATATAGGGTTTTAAATGTTTTTATCCAAACTACTGATGAAACATATGGGGATAACAAACAGTATTCAAGATTAAAAATCCATCAAAAAACGCAAAATCTGAGAACAAAATTTCATTCTATTCAAAATATTTTGGTCTTCATTTTAAGTAAATCCTCATGAAAAATGAATCAAATGTTTTTCAAAAGAAATTTCCTAATCAATAATTAATTAATATCTTCAATTTAGATCGATCATTACTATATTCACTTTTTCATAAGGTATGGTGACAAAGAACAGAAATCATTAAATAAAAAATCCATAACATTAATAAAATACACTGTAAGAGGAATAGTCTCCATAAATGACGTTAGAGGTGGGATCAGGTCCCATGGATAAGTTAGCATTCCCTGTCGACCCGCCACATCCGCCGTGTGCTCCTTGTCATGATTGGTTAAAACGGAAACCGGAAAAGATAACATTTAAAGCAGTATGAGGTGCAACTTTAATGTCGGATTTTTGTTGCAAAATTGTAAATAACGTAAAATAACGTTAATAAACTTTTCTTGTTCATATTTGGGATGGAAGAGCTATTTTTAAGCTTCGATTGAATCAAAATTACATTATTGTCGTCCTGTACAATAATGATTTCTTATATAAAACTGTATATATTGGACTGTATATACATGTAGAAGTCTTTCTGCTGCTTTATTTTAGTCTATAATTGATAATAAACATTTAAGTAACATTCAAATATATCATAATATCACAGTTTAACAGCAAAATAAAATTTTCAAAAATGCAGCTTATATTGCTTTAACTAAGTGATCAGTTGTATTTCCTGACAATCCATGGTCGTTATATTGATCATAAAATTTACCTAATGTGAACTTTAAAAGAGACTTTTGATTTTTCTGGTCCATGAACTCGTTGTCAATTGCTTGCCTCTTTTTAGAAAAAATAGTGAGTAGAGCATGCTCTTGCACATCGAGTCAACTTCAAACATAACCTATTTATACAGGTGATAAGGGTATATATAGGAGTTGACGATAAAAGTAAGTTACATGTCAGGTTTAATGTATAATACAGTGTATAGTTAAATTAAAAAATCTCAATTCTGAAATTTATTATAAAATAATCTACATGTTTAACCGTACCTACAAATATTGCTTCCTAAACTTCACTGTTCAAAGCCAAACGAAAAAAATCTTTACCCTAGTCAGCATTGCAGAGTAACACTGATATGCATGTCTTCTTGAAATACTGTCAATACTTAAGGCTGACATAAATAAGGACAATTAAAAATCTTTTAAACACAAGTTAATTACAGGGGATGCCTCAAAGAAGACGTCTCGATATACTGGATACTGGTAGGGCCATAGTGATGCTGCCCACTGGAAAGTCACAGGTTGCAGTGGGTATATTGATGAACAGGTCACAAAGGTCATTGGGACAGAGATTTCAGGATAAATACTTAGTCCATGAAAGGCCTCGGAGTGGGAGACCATGTTGTATGACGGCCCGCAGGACTGCCAGCTTGGACTGCAAGCAAAGCGAAGCCTACTTTAACTCGGCGGTTGCTTTTAACAGGGACTTTCACAACACACCTAGCTTAAAAATATCTACTCAAACTTGGTGAATAGGCTTCATACCGCTAACCTGAATGCAGCACGCCCAATTTTGACTGCAGACCACAGAGTAAGGAGACTGGACTTTGAAGGAGAGCATGCAATTTGGTAAATCCGTCTCTAGAGACCCGTACTCTTTACAGACGAATCCAAATTTTGAGTGGATTTTAATTATGGAAGGCAACGAGTGTGGAGACTGAAGAATAAGCGTTTTAATGACTGCTGTGTGACTCAATAGAACAATAGAGGCCCTGTAATGGTGTGCTGAGACATTTATTCAGGAGTCCACTGATTTCTATTTCATCAGAATCTGCCGGGGTAGAAGGAACAGAATTCGTTTTGATGGATGATAACGCAAGGTCACACACAACAAACACCGTGAACCAGTATCTTGAAATTGAGACTATCGAGAGAATGGAGTGGCCTTCGAAGTCACCAGATCTGGGATGTTCTTAAGAGGCACATTCAGCTATGGAATTCTGTTCGGTGCAATAATATGAACTTGAAGTTGCTCTGTTAGAGGAATGGGATCGGACCATCCGTTTACTCGTTTGAAGTCTCCCCAGGCGATGCAGGGCTTTTATTCAGGCAAGGGGGTCACATAAAGTATTCAGAGTCGTTGGATAATTGTCATTCTTGAATCAAGTAAATTATGCAATTCTGTATATGAAAATTTACGCTGATTTTGAGAGTATTCATTTAAGAAATAAACAACGTTATTCAGTGAACATGACGTTATGAATAGCAATTGCTCTGCTGGCATATTCCATGATGCGCGCTAGCGCATCATGGAAAATATGCCAGCAGAGCTATTGCTATTCATAATGCCATTTTCACTGAATAATCGTTGTTTATTACTTATATTTGCATTCTTTGATTTTTTTCAAGAATATCAGAGGAAATCCTGACTTACATAAGGACACAGCTTCTTGACTTCAGTAAAGAAAAACATACGGCTTTAAAATCAGTAAACCTGATTAATGCTCCTTTTCTCTAATAAATCACAAACATATTTATAACGTATTTCCCTCTCAAACACAGTTATCTGGATACAAGCAGCGCTGTCATCATATTTTTGTTTTGATGCAGTTGTGACGTCATCGATCAACGTTTTTAAAACCCTCTGACAAAAATCAATAATTTAACACTATAATGAAAACTGAGAATGCTTTTATAATGATTATTACTCCAGAATGCTTTTCTATATTTTTTTTTTTTTTAGTTTTTCTATTTATTTTTAATAGCTGAAATCATTCTTGAAATAGATATACTAGTTAAAGAAATTTTCTCTAAATCTGAATGTTATTACCCAAGTGTGAAGAGTTATCGTTCTTTGTACAAATATGCATGATACGAAAAAATAAAAATATGGCAGTTCTCTAAAATCTTAAAAAGTTTAATTATACAATTAAATACATTGACCAAAATTGAATTTTTAAAGATATAAATTAGCAATTTTAAGCATTCTGACTTTCCTTTTTTTCAACGAAGATTATCAAAAACTTACTTTTATTCCTCTTACAAAACATTTCATATATATACTTCTCAACAGAGTTTATAAGTGTAGTAGAGATTGTTCCACACGAATGTGATAGAGCAATTGCAGTCACAGTAGAAGCAGTTGCGTCTATAGTGCTATGAACGCAGTTGATGACTACATGTTCATAGTGGGAGAGAGCAGTGGATATGCAAATATAATTGTTTAAAATCTTGTTCTTTTGCCCAAGTGAACATTAACCGAATCTGAATCTAACTGCAAATTTACATGCGTAATTTAAAACAGGGAAACAAGATGGGAAGATAAGGCGAACGAAGCGCCTATAGTGCGACAGATATGAAGGGTAAAAATTTAATTTCAATTATATCCAAATTTTGTTTGATATTTCATCTTATATATAAGTATATGTAAAATCTCTACAATTTACAAAAATCTCACAAAGACTGAAAATATTTGTCCATGAAAAAGCATATACACACTAAAAAGAACAAAGACCATCCTTTTCACATACTTTAACAATCCTAAAATTGTTGATAATCCTAAAAAAATGCAATGAAATATACAATGAAATATTACCAGATCTTTGGCATAAAAATGGAAAGAAAGTTTTCTCAGCGGAGTCTTTTTTACCCATTCTCTGAGTAGTACAAAACATACGAGGGCTGTTCGGAAATTATTGAGACAATTACATTTACTCCATAAAGGACGGAAATAATTTCAGGAAAACCCATCAACATTTTATAAAGAACGAATAAAATACTTATGCAAAATTTCTAATTCCTGTGATATTAAGAAAAGTTTCGGTGAAATGATAAACGTGCATATGTCTATCGACCCGGAGCAGCATCACTACGTCATTTTTACCTCACGTCAGCCAGGGATGGTTCCGCATGTAAAACGATCGGGAAGCGTTTAATCTTTATCCTTCTTTGTTATTACATATAACAAATAAAAAATCAAACAGTCTCTTTTCTTAAACTATTCCTTAAAAATGTATGCTATTGCTACCCGAGTGTAATATTTTCATTTGTGGGAAAAGATGACTTAAAATCATGCAGTGCCGATTTATGCAACGTGGGTCAACGATATTGATACCGTAACAATATTAATACCGTACGTAATAACTGATGGTCGTCCGGAGCTTTTGATTTTACTCTGGTTGAATTAATTGTAAAAAAAAAATGTATACCAATGAAATAACAAACCCTAACACACTATTTTTTTCTAGTAGTTATTATTCTAGCAGGTTGTTGTGTCTTGAAAAGAGTTCTACATTGCGCTACACAAAATTTTAGGTATGTTCGCTGCTCCGCCCTTGACGTCAAAATCCATTTTTTTTTCTTAGCAGATTTCTCTACCGCGCTTGATTTTTTTTATGATATCCATATTCCTGATCAAAATTCTATCAAAGTTGCACAACATGAATTTGAATTAAAGCTGAAAAATTATGCACATAAACAGAATTATTTTCGATCTTATTATGGGTCCACGAAGAGTTAGAACGTTGGTGTTACATATTTTCAATATCTGACTTCGAGACTGCTCCGGGTAACCCTACTGACGACCCATTTATATGCCATTGTACAGAAAATATTTAATATTTGTCAAATATTTTTTGCTTTTATTAATTCTTAATGTATGTCAAACGTATATGCAAATTTTCACCGAAAGACGTTCATTAGAAAGCAAAATATACACAATGTCTCAATAATTTTCGAACAGCCCTCGTACAGGCAAACTACAATGGTA